ACAAGAATGCACAGACACAAACTCTTTTTCATACCATGGTGTAGGTTTTCCCCGAACCAGTTTGGCCATATGCAAATATACATACATTATATCCATCCAAAACTGATTGTAACAAGGGCTGCGTATCCACAAATACTTCGACTGCCATCATTTGACATGTCACATGAGCAAACGAAAAGGAAAATGAAGACAGATCGAAGAAATAATAAGTAACTTATATCATATAGTGCTTGTTTGTTGTAGCTTTTTAAAGAGTTAATTGTTCCAACGACCATTGAACTTAAGTCCATGTCTTTGATTGACTATTGAAATTTAAAATGTCAAGTTTTGAAAAATTTCGAGTTTTTGTCACTGAACTTAGGTCTATATCTTTGATTATTCACTGAAATTTAAAATGCCCAGTTTTGGTTACTGAATTTAGGTCAATATCTTCAATTGCTCAATGAACTTAGATTCATGTCTTCGATTGCTCACTGAACTTAGGTCCATGTCTTAGATTGCTCACTAAAATTTAAATATCGAATTTTGATAACTGAATTTTGGAATATGTCGTACGTTACTCATTAGCAAAATTGTTGAATTTTGAAAAATATCGAATTTACAGTAAGTAATGTACAATTTTTTTCAAAGTTCAGTTGCCAAAACTCGGCATTTTAAATTTCAGTGAACATTCGAAGACATGGATCTTAGTTTAATGATCAAAACTCGACATTTTTAAAAATTTAGTGGCCAAACACGACATTTTAAATTTCAATAAGCAATCGAAGACATGGACCTAAGTTTAGTGACCAAAACTCGATATTTTAAACTTCAGTGCCCAATCAAAAACATGAACCTAAGTTCAATGACCATTGGAACAATGAACTCATTTTTAAAACTTATAAGCTTGTCAAACAATCCACAGCTTATATAATCTACAAAAATCTTTACCAAATAGACTCATTGTATGATATGTGAAGAAATTGATAATTATGAGATAATTGATTAATTAGATTTTTGTATATTATGTTCTATTAATTAGTTAGAAATAATTTTCTTCTTTCTTTATTTATAAGATTACATTCATTTTCTTGAATCCTTGTCGTACTGTAAATTAAGCATAGGAGGCATTGTAATATTCATTGAGAAATATAGAATTCATAATTTCTCATTCTCT